AAATAACCCAAAAAGAGGGGGAGAGAATCTAAGTTCAGGGTTTGGTTATGCAAAGGGAAGGTATTAGCACCCTAAACATACACGGTACTCCACAGGAACCTCTTTGAAAATTTGTGTATTTTGGCTTTAAGTATTGTATACAAAAATAGATGGTGGAGGTGAGAAGAGAAATATTTTTTTTTAATTTTTGCATCCGCAACGGTTGCGAACCTTTAGTGCCTATGTACCACCTTCCGTGCAATAGATGATCAGGGTACTCGTAGTTCACCTTTAAAAATTTTAAAACACAAATGTGTTGGTTAATTTTAAGAGGCGAGACATCATCGTCTTATCCGAGTGGAAGAACATAATTATTACCCACAATTACGATAAAGGAGAATTTGCAACATCTCAAAGTGGATGACATGGCTTGGATTTTAAAATCAACAAAGCCTTGCTCAACATCCAAGTGGAAAATATCTCACTTCACTACATATCGTCAAAGTATAGTAGCTCGCATCACTACAAAGATTGAAAAGGTCTAATCTTTTGAGAAGATTTTAAAGTAAGAATCCAAAGTGGAAAAATGGTTTGAATGAGATTGATTGACTTTTAGTCTTCTCACAAAATTTGTCAAAGTATTATTAAGTTGTTTAGAGTTTGATTAAAAAAATATTTTTGAAAAAAATGGCATGGACCTAAGTCCAAGTTTATTATGAAAGTGGTTCAAGTTTTAAAACAAGAAGAATTTTCAAAGGAGGTAGGAGATTTTTTGAAATTAAAGAAAGTGGGAGGAGATGAAGGGCTATCCTAAAGCATAAAGGTAAAAGCTAGAGAAAAGAACTGTCTAATCAACAAGAAGTCAATACTTGACATAATGAGTCAATGTAGAATTCTCATTATTTGGATTGAAAACAAACAAGGAAGGACAATGTAACCCCTTGAGAATCAAACTCCAAATACATTAAGTCTTCACAAAAATTAGGCAGAGTAATGGCTGTATACAGATAAATTCCCAATCATAGGCAAAACATGTAATCAGAATAACCTGAACACAAAAAAAAAACAATGTATTGGGGTAAACCCCAAGAACTCCAGACAAAATAGAAATGAAAGTCATAAGGTCTCAAGGCAGGTCTCTAATCCTAAGTCCAAGAAGTCCATCACTCCATAATGCCAAGGATAGTAACCAAATAGTCCAAGTAACATTAAAGTTTTTTATGGTTTAAGTTGATTATTAGGTATCTTCAAAAAGAGATGAGAAGCTCAAGTGAGCAAAATAAAAATGACATAAAAGTAAATACTCAAGTGAGAAAAGATGAAAATAGCATGAAATGTAAATGCCAAAAGAAAATAGTGCATAAAGTACAGGCATAAAATAAAAGCACAAAATAAAGAGGCATAAAGTAAAAGTCAAATGTTAATGAATTAGTAATTAGAGGTTAGTTGAATGACCATATTGAAACTTTCATTTGAAAACTCATTAGAAGATTGATAAAATCAAAGCCTCTAAACAACAAATTTCATTTGCTTTTTGTCTAGTATATCATTCATTTCAAGTTCTCAATGTAACAACATATGATCAATAATGTTTAAATGATCCACTTGTACCAAAGTTTATGAAGATTCATTAATGGATTGATAAGATCAAAGACTCCTGAAAATGAATCTCAAGGTTATTGGATTAAAGGTTTTAAATTAAACATCCTTGGGCTTGCAAACTAGGGTTTGGGCCACGAATGATCATTTCTCGGATCGGGACAAAATTTAGCACTATATTAAGCAATCGTAAGTGGACTTATATAGAAATTCCACCTATTTTGAGCCCGGTCAATAGCAATCTATGGGTCATATGTTTTGAGAGATGATATGTAGATCACCCTCTAACAACATGGAGCACAATGAGAAAGGGATAAGATGAAGAGGGAAGGGATATATTTGAAATAAAAATTTAATCAAACTATCATTAAAATCATTCATCCATTTTGGTGGAGTTAAACTCAACACCCAAGATCCAATGATGTTAATGAAGTCCATGATCAAAAGTCAAATAGTCAGAATATGTACAAAAATAAAAATGCATTTAATGAATAAAAAGAAAGAAAGAAAAATGATTTTTAACATGTTTTTAAAATTAAAATAAAAGAGAAAATAGCAAACTATATTCAAAATATCAAAGAAAAATTAAAAGAGACCATAGAAAAAACAGAAATGATCTCAAATATTTTTATAAATTTTTTTGGTAATTTTTTAAATCAGAAAAGTATTTTTAAACTAATTAAAATTACTCAAATTAGTGAAAAAAAGATCAATAATAGTAGAAGTTAAAATAAAATTCTAGAAAAATTTCAGAAGGTCAAAAATAAGAAATATGATTTATATAAAAAAGATCGGAGTTTAAAAGAGTCAAAAAGTATTTTTAAAACAATTAAAATAAAGCAAACAAAACAAAAATTATCAAAAATATCAAACACTAAAATTAAAAAAAATTAAAAAATATTCACAAAATCAGAAATAATTCAAAGTATTTTTGTATTTTTTTTTAATAATTTTTGGATAAAAAATAAAAGAATTATGAATTTTTAAACATAAAAGGAATTTAAAAAATAATTTTGTAAAATAAAACAAATTAGAAAAAACCACGCGCGTTGGATCTTTCTCCCTAATACATGCTGGCAAATCCAACGTATCTGAGGTGAGGGAGCATCATGAATCCAAGGCAGAGCACGCGCTTGTATCATAGTAAAATCCAACCAATGAAAATAAAATAATTGGCCTAAGAGCATCTCCAATGGTGCTACTCATATTTGGGTTCTTTGTGGGACCCATTAAGCTACATCATCTTGAAGCAACTCACTCCATTTTTCACTCCAATGGTGCAATTTTAAAGAACTTATATTGGGTCCCACAATTTTACTTTGTATATTAATATTTTATTCATACTAAATTTTATTTGATTTAAAATAATAATTTAAATTATTTAAATTTAAATTAATATAAAATAGATAAAATTAAAATTAAAAATAAAATTTAAAATGATAATTAAAATTAATCTCAAATACATGACATATAATTAAAAACAATAAAAATAAATTACATAACATAATTACTCAAATTTAATTTCCATCGTCCTCATGTCCAAAACGTTCCCAAATATGCTCGACTAAATCTCCTTGAAGTTGGCGATGAACTTGTTTTTCACGAAGAGTTGCTCTTCTTTGTAGTCTTATTGCAAGATTCAGATGAGGACCGTTAAATGTTTCAGTCGTTGAGTTGTTGTTACCGACATTATCGTAAGAGTAATCAAAATCACCTCCATATGTGTGTCGTTCATCTTCGACAATCATGTTGTGCAATATGATGCAAGCATATATGGTATGCTTGAGAGTTTCCATGTGCCAAGCACGCACTGGACCACGTATTATTGCAAAACGAGATTGAAGCACTCCAAATGCCTGTTCCACATCCTTTCTAGCTGATTCTTGGTGTTGTGCAAATAATTTTCTCTTTTCTCCTTGTGACATCGAATAGTTTTGACAAATGTAGCCCACTCAGGATATATTCCATCCACTAAATAATACCCCATATTATAAGGAGTTCCATTGATTGTATATTGCACATTAGCAGCACGTCCTTCCAAAATATCGTTAAACACATTGGATTGGTTTAACACATTAATGTCATTGTTTGAACCTGCAATACCAAAAAATGCATGCCAAATCCATAAGTCTTGTGATGCCACTGCTTTAAGCATGATCGTGGGTTTACCATGATCACCTCGACAAAGCTGTCCTTTCCATGCAACAGGGCAATTCTTCCATTCCCAATGCATACAATCAATGGAACCCAACATACCTGGAAAGCCACGTGACTCACCCATTTGTAAAAGATGTTCAATATCAGTGTTGTTAGGCTTTCTCAAATACTCAGCCCCAAATACAACATTCACGCCCTTAACGAATCTTTCTAAGCACTCAATTGAGGTACTTTCACCGATTCGAACATATTCATCTACAATGTCAGCGGGAGACCCATATGCCAACATACGAATAGCAGATGTGCATTTCTGCAATGGTGAAAGACCCATCTTACCAGTTGCATCGACCCTCATTTGGAAATATTCATCATGATTGCCGAGGGCATCTACAATTCGAAGAAACACATGCCTATGCATTCTGAACCTTCTTCGGAATTGTACATTTGTGTATACTGGATTTTCTGAGAAGTAGTCATTGAATAACCGATTGTTCCCTTCTTCATGACCTCGATCTACCGTAGTTCTTCTCTTTGGCCTAGAGGAACTTCCAAATTGACATTCATTTTGAAGATGTTGTTCTTCATCACTGTCGTCCATAAATTCTTCTTCAACTAACTCCCAAAATTCTTGATCGTAATTATCTGAATTGTCTGAATCCATTTTAGTGAGGAATAAGAAGAGAATGAGAAAATAATGACATAAATGGTTGTATATATAATGGTTTGAATAAAGGCTAGTTATTCATAACGGCTAGTTTGAATAACGGCTAGTTTGAATAACGACAAGTTTGAATAACGGCTAGTTTGAACAACATAATATTTATTATGATTTAAAGTGGTACTAATGACCATTTTACATATAATTTAAAGTGGTACTAACTACAGTCCATATTGTTTTTCATTTTATTACAATATTTTTCATGAATATCTCGTTGACTTTCGTTCATAGTAGAAGTGTCTTTCATCATGATTTGCATTACCTTTAATTCTATCTCGTCCTCCTTACTTTGCGTAAGTCTTTCCATTGTTTCTGCTCTTTTATTCCTTGCATCTTGCGTTGCATTTGAAATTTCCTTTGCCTTACCCTTCCTTTTTGCTGCTTTTTGTCCCATTGGACGCTCCATTGGTGATGATGAGTTAAACTCAGAACTTGAAGGTGTATCAGGGATCTCCGATGATGCCCCACTAGCATAAGTCAGTGTCATTTTTGAAGAATTTCCAATCGATTCTCCGATGATGCCCCATTTAGCTTCATCTTTTAACAATCACCATGCATACTCAAGATTGAATGTTGTACCTTGATCTTGAGCATAAAAATCATGTGCAGCAGCCATGATATCGTTCTCCGATGTCCCACTTTTCTTTCCATTGACAGCTTGTCTATAACACCCAACAAATTTTTGAACCGACGCATTTATTCGATGCCATCGACATTTTAATTGACCACTTAACTTTTCTCGCAATTGCCTGCGATACTGGTTATAATTTGCAGTGATTCTATGCCAAAAACTCTCAGCTTTTTGATCAACTCCCACAATTGGATCCTTTGAAACATTGAGCCATGATTGGATAAGACATATATCCTCATCCCTTGTAAATTGCTCTCGAGATTTTTTTTTAACGAGAACCCTTTCTTCTTTTTCAACACCAACTTGAGTAGAAAATGGTGGAACTTGAGAATTTTGAGGATTAGGATTTTGATACATATTTGGATTGTTTGGTGACGGAAAAAATATGGCGGGGTTTGGTGGTACTGATGGAATTTGAGAATTTTGAGAATTAGGATTTTGATAATTTTGCATGAAATTGAACATAGCTTGTTGATAATGAAAATGATTAGGATCCATTTAACCTAAACAAATGTAATTTGAAATAAAAAGATGAAATTTTGAAATAAAATGATAATGAGAAGAAATTGTTGGGAAAAAATTAAAAATTTATGAATAAAATGATGAAATTGTGAGAGAGAAATTTGAAATTAAAGAGTAAATAAAAGTGAGAGAAAATAGGATTGGTATACAATTTTCCAACAAACCTATATTTATAATAAATAAAAAAAGTTCAAAAAAAATTAAAAAATAAAGTCGTTGCACAACAGCTAATTGATTATTTTAATAATAAAAAAATATGAAGAGTCGTTGCTTATATTTGTACCGTTCACCAGCTGGAACAACTTTTTTGTTGACAATTTCAATGCCAAGCTGGCAAACCAATCTGAAAAACTACCGTTGGAGGTGGTCTAAAGTCATTGGTTGAAGAACGACACGTAGGTCGTCTTCAACCTCCAGCCTCCTGCAAACAGGGAAAATCTCAAATCCTTGAATCTGTAAATTTACGCATTCATAGTGGTACCATTATATATGTCTACTTGAGACGATCACAACTATATTCTCGCGAAAAATTTATATAAAGCATAGCGTAGTCGATTTGAAAAAAAAAACAGAGATGTTTGAAATTGTTGAAATCGAAAATCAGAAGCATCAAATGCATTATTTCACCAAAATTGAGTTAATAGCAAGCATCAGTGAACATCATAGACCATTCCAGTAATTTGAGTTAGAAGATTTGGTGCCTTAAACTACCTAAACTAAGTCAGATGAAGTTGCTCTATAAATGGACTTGGCTAGCACGATTCCAGACACCTTAAGGCTTGATTCTTCTTTTGTTAGCTTCAGGGAAGTTCAAGGATGAAAGATCAATAAATAAATTGAATTGAAAAGTGGAGAAAATAGGAATTCAAAATCTCATAAAAGGGTGTTATGGAGGGAGTTTGACAGAGTGATTTTGGCTCTTCAAGCTTGAAAAATGAGTGGAATAGAGCCTGTATTTATAGGAGAAGTGAATGGGATCAAGAGGAGGGGTGAATGATGCAAATTTAAATGAATTTGTGCACACCTGTGTACACGAGCAAAGTATGCTCTCATGTGCATCAAAACTCATCTAATTGTTGTGTTTTGTCACTCTAAATAATCCAATTATCTTTGTTGATCATGCTTAAGTGAAAAACGCGTGGTAATTTGATGATTAGAAGCCATATTATGAAAATTGTGATCTGACTTAAAATGAAACTTCAGTTCCAAGGTACCCACTTTGAAACAATGGTATTCACAGCTCAAGGGGTCTTAGGGCATTATTCTTGAAGCTTTAGAAATATGAGATCACAAACTTTACAATATGTAAGGATTGGAATCAAATGGATGCTTGAGCCAAAAGTTGTGATGAGTCAAAGTTGAGAAAAAGATGCTGACTTTTATACTTAGAAAAATTTTAAGTTTTCTCTACAAAAATGACCTATAATGTTTTGATTCTAAACAAGGCCATCCCCCAAAATATTGTTTTGATCGATGATGCTAGCTTGAAGTAGACTTCCTAAAGAGCATTGTGAAACTTGAATAACTCAAAGATACCAAGTATTGAAAAAGTTATGGCCTTCCAAAATTGGTGAGAGTTCATGAGATGACCTATAATGTTTTGCATCCTTAGGGAATCTTCCATCCATTTTCAAGCTTTGTACATAAAACAAGAGTTGAATTTAACATCCTTAAGATCATTGTGGAAAAATAATGGTATTAAGGAGATAAGAATTGACCAAGTTATGATCTTTTGAAGTCACATAAGGGAATTTGATGGCATATCTAGAGGACTTGTAATCTTTCTTCATCATTAGGCATCTTCCACATCAAATCTTCTTGAAAATTTTGAAGTGATTTATTGGTAACCCTTTAAAGAGAATCATGTCTTTGGAATCACTAAAAAATACCAAAAGATGAGCAAGATATATCCCTTAGAAGTTCAAAACCCTAGCTCTTAGAGCACTAAAATACCTTGGAATCCCTTTTCAATTTTGGAAAACTTTCTTGCAAAAATACATTTTTCATGTGAATAGAAGTTGTTAAGTATGATAATGAGAAGCCATATCAACCATAACCACTCATAAATATTAAGAATTGAGGGAGTTATGCATTTGTGATCAAGAAATCAAGAACTTGTCCAATTAGGTCAAACTTCTTCAATCAACTCTTGCATCCTTTGACTTTCTTTGACAAATTGAGGCATGATAAATCAAACTAGACCTTGTCAAAGTATATTCAATGATGAAGCTTGAATCTTAATGAAGCTTTGTTGAAGAAGGCATGAAAATAAACTCATGAACCTATAAATTAACTTGATGGAATATGTTGTGCTCACTTATAATATCATCAATTAGGGCAAACATTCATTGTATTTATTAGTTAAAAGTTAATTAATACAAAACATATATGATCACAATATATAAATCAAGGTGCTTGGTGATCTCCCATGAGAAAACCTAAAGATAGGGAGAAGAACCAAACCCTAGTGTGATCTTGTTGTGATTGAGTTGACATGAGATGATAGAGGGATCTTAGGGGTAAAAATTGGGGTACAACTGCTGTTTTTATGATCGACGCTTAGTTTCTACTATCCAGTGCGTACCTCAAACTCTTGCTCTATCGGTCTCACTTTGGTATATTCCTCACCCTCGTGACAAAATTTTAAAATTGCAAAATTAGAAACTAAAACTAAAAATCAGGTAAGATCATAATTTTACACCCATGCTTTCTACAAAGTCCTGTCGGTAACAACGGTCCTCATACAATGGTCTCAGATGGAATTTGCTGGACATTATAAATCCTAAGCTAACATTATAAGGATTATGAAATTTAATACAAGCATGTTGAGGTTAATTATTGATACAATAATAATTTAGAAGTAAGATTAACAATTTGAAAACAAATAGAAATAAAGAACTGTCAGAATAAGAACTTGTAAATGAAATATAAATGGAACTGGAACAGAATAAAACTGAAAGATTGTATTGATGATCCAAGTGTATAGAAACAAGTAAATAAAAGGAAAAAAATTGCGACAATCCCTTAGTGTGAGTAATTGTTGCTTTACAAACTGAATTCAGTGCCTAGGAAATCAAATGTAATTTCAACAGAGCTTCCGAACGGCTTGGATAATTAGGAACTGACGATAAGGCCCTATATATAGAGAAAATTCATCTGATAACTGCCTATATTGGAGGGAAAAATACAAATTGAGAAATTGTTGATAACTGCTAAATGAAACGAAAAATTGTTCCTGCCACTGAATGGCGATCGCCATTGGGGCAATGGCGAATGTCATTGCCTTGATTCATTAAAATATGTGGTAGGAGGGAATGTCAAATTCCATATCCCTATGGAGAACGACATATCATAAAGAATTGCAAAATCTTGACATCTTGCTACTTTTTTAGCTCATTTTCCACTCTTTCTCCGATTCAATTCTGAATTTGCGATCGATGATCAAAGAAGCTGCAAAACAAAGGAAAAGAAAGTAACATGCAATAAACAAGGTATAATACGGACAATTTACATGCATAATGAGATTAAGAACATGGTACAATTTCTCGTTATCAGAATGTTAATTAATTGACACCGTATGTCAATCGATTGATGCTGGATAATTTTTGAAAAATCCTAAAATTGAATTATGTGTTATTCCTGATGATTTATGTCATAACTTTAGTTATGTAAGTCCAATGACGTGTCATTTGAAGCAATAGAAAGATAACGTGAAGCAGCGTACCATGGTGATGGTTTGAGAGTTTAATTAGGTATGTATTATGAATGGAGGTGTAATGATATGAAAACATGTGATGTGTTGACATGTTATTATAAAAGTGAAATAATCATGAATCAATTGTGTTATTCTATAATGTTGAATGTTAATTGTTAGTACCAGGGTTTTGGGATTGGCAACAATTTTGCTAAAACATGGTTCAAATCAAAGATGTTATGGGGATTGTTCTAACATGTTGGGCAGGTTCATTTAATAAATATATTTTGTCAGATGTTGTGACATTTTGTACCAGAACATGTACAGGTTATTTTAAATCTTGACAGATTTAATTAGATTCTGTGATATTTCTTTTGGACATGTCTCAATAAATTTCGCAGGTCAAGAAGATTTAATCTGGAACAAGTTTTGTATCTTCAGTTGTACATAAGTTACTAAACTAGGCCTTAAGATAATTTAGGAAACTTGGTATTGTTTGTTCCAAGATTTAAGGATAATTTGCTGCACAATTGGTGCATGACTCAGCTTGTGGATCAAGAAATATCTGAAGCCCATGGACTACAGAGGTGTATTTAAAGAGAAGACATAAACATAATTTATTAATTCTTTCAATTAAGTTTTTCATAATTTTTAAATTAGGGGAAGCTTAGAATCTTAGGTTTTGAGAGTCTCTTGTGTGAGTGTACATCACCCATGTATCTTTTGATATTATGTGGTAGACTAATTGTTACTTGACAGTTTGTCAAGTTATTGTTCTCACTCTTGAAGCTTTTAAGCAAAAGAGTTGAGTTTTTTATTTGAATTATAATCTTCTTATTGAGTTATTCTTGATACAGTCACTGGGATTGGGACTGTTAGATATCACTGAGGTGATTAGGAAGTGATATGGGATTTTTCATATTTAGATGGTGATTTCTAGGTAGAAGTTGTGGCGGGTAGGGATTAAGTGAAAAGTTGTAATCCAGGACTATTTAGGCTTTGAATTGATACTACTAATAGTGGATTTTCTTCCTGCCTTGGTAGCCCCCAGAGTAGGTGATGTTGCACCAAACTGGGTTAACAATTCACTTGTATTATTTATCATTCTGCAATTTCATTTTAGTATCAATCACATCTTGATAAATCTGTTTAGTTTCTCAACAGATATTGTAACATTTGTCTAGACATTGTTTTGATGTTGGGATATTAGTATTAACATGTGTTGCCTATACCAAAAATTTCAATTGGTATCAGAGTAGGCACCCTGGTCTATTTGGTGAGC